GTCTATCTGTGTTTCGACTCCATCACCCTCCAGGCAGTGACAACCTGATAATTATCTGGAACGTGGGGACAGGTGAACCCCTCATCTCCATGGACGACCATCCAGACCTCATCTACAGCGTCAGCTGGAACCGTAACGGCAGCTTGTTTTGCACCACCTGTAAGGATCGACGTCTGCGTGTCTGTGATCCCCGCAAAAGAGAAGTGGTGGCGGTGCGTGAGTAGAAATTACAGATGGCTCGTCTTGGCAAAAAGGCTTTCCCACCGCTTTGGAGGAATTTTGGCTCATTTGTTTTTGCATAATTGTTTTAATTCAACCACATTGGAGGGGCTGAATAGCCTGTTTAAGCTCATGTGAAAGCACAGCAAATTGTTGAGGTCCTGAGGCAGCAAAGCAGCCCCAGACCATCACACTACCACCACCGTGTTTGACTGATGGTGTTAGTGTTCTTTTCATCAAAGGCTGTGTTAGTTTCATGTGAAACAAATATGCAAAAAACTAAGAAATCATGTAAAAAGTATACTGTTTCACAGTATAAACTAATATAATGCAGAAGCTGTCTCAAAATATATTATTGGTATATATTATTATAAATAATTAGCACAATTATTCTGGTGACTATATTTTTATTTTTCTTATTGTTCAAGAATATATTAGCTCCATATAATTACTTGACTTCAGGAAACAGTGAAACACAAACTTTCATTAAACAGGCACAGAGACAGAAAATAAGGATTAACTTGAAATCTTTAGCTCTTACATTGTTGTAGTTATGTTACTAATGTCTGTTTCTCTGCTGACCAACAGGAACGTCTGGCTCCACATGAGGGCATCAGGCCAATGAGAGCAATCTTCACCAGAGATGGAAACATCTTCACTACAGGATTCACCAGGATGAGTCAGAGAGAGCTCGGCCTCTGGGACCCGGTAACAAATGACTACATTTCACAGAGTGACTGTAAAAATATGTTCACACACTATAATATGAATCTACACAGAAACCTGTCAGTTTTCCTCACAGCTTGTTATTGTCCACAGACAAATTTTGAGGAACCTATTGCACTTTTGGAGTTGGACACAAGTAATGGAGTATTGTTACCTTATTACGATCCAGATGCAAATATGGTCTACCTCTGTGGAAAGGTACAGACATATAACTGTGACTTATTTTTACACTTAATTGTAGATGTATTATCAGCCTTAATGCTAACACAGTCACACTTGTTTTTACACTTGTTCATGTGCGTGTGTTTAGGGGGACAGCAGTGTCCGGTACTTTGAAATCACAGAGGAACCACCGTATGTTCACTACCTCAACACCTTTAGCAGCAAGGAGCCCCAGAGAGGGATGGGCTTCATGCCCAAAAGAGGTGTTGATGTCAGCAAATGTGAGATTGCCAGGTAAGATGCTGATCTTGCAATGATTTCAACTTGAGTGCAACTTAACCGTGTAAGAAGGTGAATTGAGCCAGCTGTGGTTCAGCTGGAGGTTGACTGGGTTGTATCCTTGGGCAAGATACTAGCCTAAAGTTACCCCTAATGCATCCACTGGAGTGTCAGTGTCATCATGAGGTCAACACACTTAGGTATATAAAACCAAAAACTAAATTCTTTTAGGAATTGTATTTAAAAGTGCCTTAAGTGCTCAGGTAGACTAGAAAATAACTGTATAAGTACCAGATCACTATAAAGTTTGCTATAAACGTTTTAGCTTCTCCAGCGTCCCTACAGTTGCTGCTGTCTCTGCAAACTGCTTTGCAACCCACCTCCATCTCAGCTTCTCCTTTTTGTGCCTTTTTACTTTGCCTTTAGTATTTTGGTAATGCCTGCGCTCGTGTGCTCGCAGATTGAAATAGTAATCTTTGGTCCTGTCTGAAATCTAGTTTTTAAAAATCAATATCACAAGATGTCAAAGAATAAATAGTCACACGACTATATTTGGGCATATCTGCAGCAGCGATTCACAGCCCTTTTCATGTTTTAGTGATTCCACTGATTTAATGGACGTGTTGCCATTTTAGCCTTCAGATAAATGAAACAAATATGCAGTAGTTATTACATCAGTTATTATTGCAGACAATTTGGTCCATTAATTTTCTACTTAGCACAAGTGTTCATATTGGAAATTTCCATTTTGTTCACCTTAAAAGCTTCACCACTGAATGCTTTGTATTCTCTAAACACTGCTAAATGCTCATGAACCATAAACTCTCTGACATGGACATTTCTAAATATCAGAAATGATAGTTTATGTCTTTGCAGAAAGCTGCAAAAGTAGTCCTTTTTCCATATAGTTCTCATATACATCTCCATATGTGATAAACAATTATGTGACTTACTGATTGCAGGTGAGATTGATTATTCAGTTCTTATAGACAGACATTTAAAAATACGTACAACGACAACTGTGATAACTTGTGGCCGTGTCCTCTTTTCTCATCTTATCAGGTTGTATAAGCTGCTTGACAAGAAATGTGAGCCCATCACAATGACAGTGCCCAGAAAAGTAAGCCTGACTCACCTTTCCATTATGCTCTTCATGCTCTGCTGTGTTTGACTTTGACAATGGTGCAAGATGAAGATATCAGTCTTATACTTTATCGAAACAGAAATCCTGGACTTGTCATACCACACTTCTATCTGGCTCCTTAAAACTCAAACATGAATCAACCTTTGTCGCTGCAGTTTCATTTGAATACAGTTCAGCTGAATGGAAAACCATTAATGTTTACATCCTGCCACGAGCACCTTGTGAGGCTTCCTTCTGCACAGTGATTGGTTCTTAGCTGTAGTTTAGTGCAACGAAAGGCTTCTTCGACACACTGCTCCCAGTGTTTGTGGATTGTTTCTGATGCTATTCAGTGGAGGACAAATACACATGTTTGATATTAGGGATGAACTTGCGGCTTTACTTTTTACTTCACACAAACGTCTCTGTTGTCCCCTTGATCTTCCCTGTTGCACAGTCGGACCTCTTTCAAGATGATCTGTACCCAGACACAGCAGGACCCGAGCCCGCCATGGAACCCGAGGAGTGGCTTGATGGCCGAGATGAAGATCCCATCCTGGTGTCCATGAGGCAGGGCTACGTGCCGCCGAAGAGCAGAGAGCTCAAAGTGGTGAAGAAGAACGTCCTGGACTCCAGACCCACCACCCGACGCAGCATGTCCACTTTGGACACCAACAGCCTGCCGGTAAGCCCACTTCCTGCACCTCTGCACATAAACTACTTTTTCAACATTAATTTAGCAGTATAAGATGACTCCTCTCTACTAATCTGCATTCACATTATAGGCTCCCAAAGCCTGGATGTATTTTTATACATCTTATGTATAACCATGTACAGCACAGTTGAATGATTTCTTAGTCCTGTAATCTGACTGGTGGTAAAAAAAAGAAAGAAAGAAAGAAAAGAAAACAACAACAATAACAAAAAGTGACTCTGTTTTAACCCTTTTCTGTTTTCTTTTCTCTTGTAATTCCATCTGCCCACAACCTTTTTTGTTCAAAGCTTTCACCTGTTTTCATTGATTTCCTCTAGTCCTAGTCATCTTCCTTAACCTATTCTTCAAACATTTTCCTTAATTTCACCTTCTTATCACAGTCTTTTTTCCTTTCTGTTTCCCTTTTATCCTTCTGCACACTTGTCTCCCCTCTTCTCCTTTCCAGCCTCAGCTGCTTGAGAGGTTACTGGAAGAGATTCAGAATCTGAAGGCCACAGTGTTGTCTCAGGAGAAGAGAATCTGTGACCTGGAGAATAAGCTTTCCCAGTACACCAATGGCAGTGCCTGATGTGCATGTAAACATGGTCTGAAGAACTGGTCTGAATATTATTGACGAGGATTCACTCTTGTGAATGCTTATGAATGTGTACAAGTGACCATTCGACAGATTTGAGGAAATTGCATCTGTACCCCTTTCGATGGTTGATTCTATAAAATCTTTATCCCGGTTTTACCTTTCATTCTACTGCAGGATATTTTTTGGGATAGTCACAATTTTACAGCGAAAAGGACGGAGGTGATGTTTGTGTGAAGGCACTGTAAGTTTGAGAGTGTAAGTTGGGTTAAGGGGATAAAAAAAAAAGGTTTCTATTAGAGAAAAAAGAAAATGTAGAAAACAGGTTTAAAAAAATGCAAGCGCAAGACTTTTATAATTTGCTTCTATAAAAAATACAGGCCCGCTTCAAACCTGCCCACACATCCTCCCACTGCATGTGGAGTCACGCTTATAGCTTTGGAGGGTCTCGAAGTTAAGAAGAAACATTAACAGAGACATTTCCCCTCAAATCAGGATCTGGATTGATTAATACAGTCTTCACATAGAGTGAATTAAGATCATTCCTCAGCTGGCTTAAGCTGCCTGTTCTGATTCAGCTGCAGAAATTAAAACAACCTTTCTTAAGGTCAGGAAAAAAGTTAAAAACATGAAAAGCACAAATAAACATTACTTTAGAAGATCCTTTTTTGAAGCTTGAATTCACGTTCATTCTTTTATTTGTGTTTGCTGTGCTATGCACATGCTAAGACCATCACATGCCGTATTACAGAGCTAGTTCATGTCAAACGACAGAACTCATAGTATTTATGGGGATTTGTTTCCTGTTTCCTACACAAAACACGTGCTGACCTGTGATCGTTGTGCACTCATGTCGAGGGCCTCGTGACCTCACCAAAACTAAATCAGTTTAGAAAGTTAATGCAGGAGACCCTCGAAGCGGCGTGAGAGTGTGCACGGGCTGGCTTGGAATCGGGATGCTGCAGTGGAAATGCTCGCACCATCACTAAACACTCACAAAAAGCCACACAAACAAACAAGGACACATTTCAGCATTTCAACCCCCTGTGTCGCAGATGACCAGTTGATTTAAATAATGCTCATAAAAAATTTCAATATGTAAATAGTGATAAAAGGAAACGAGAGAAGAAAATGTAGCAAAATGTGAAAAGAGAAACGTTTTGTTGTGTAAAGGTTATACATTAGACACATTATGACAACAATAAAAAGTGTTTTTTTTTACTGCTTGACTTGTTCATTTCTTGTTGCCCCATTTCCACCATTAACATTTTTTAAAATTTCCATCCAAAGAGCTTCCAAAACACCTGTTTTTACCTTTTTTTTAAAACTCCCACAAACTGTGAAAATGTGGAAACTGAGCAGTACAAATTAGAGCATGATAAATTAAGAAGAGCATTAGCTTCATAACAGAAAGACAGAATTAAATACGTCAAGTTTCAATCAAAAATCAGTTCCCATATTAGCTGAGAAATCAGTGGTTTAAGATATGAAGCTGTATGTATGATCAAAATCCCCCCAAAAAGACATAACATGGATGAATAATGTTTTTATGCGTAATTATGGAAATATATACAGTACTGTAAACGTCTTGAGCCACTGACTCATTTCATGATATTTTGCTATGAAAATGAACTATGTGTCAACATAACACAGCCTGAACTGGTAAAATGGTAAATGGCATGTATTTGTATAGCGCTTTACTAGACCCTAAGGACTCTCTTAGGCAGGCTTTCTGCTACTTCCTTTAAGTAGTCTTCAGGAACAGTTCTGCAGACTTCTGGAAAGACATCCAATGCTCTTCTTTGGATGTTGGCTGCCTTTTGTTCCGTTTTCTGCGAACAGGATCCCAAAATGCTTCAATAATGTTCAGGTCTGGTCTCCGGGGAGGCCAATCCATGATTGCTGTCTTTTTCTGTTGTGTTACTCTTTCCATCTCGGTTAATTCTCGTAGCTCAACTTGCTGGTGCACAACTTGACAAACTGTGATATCTCTGGCATTTTTTTTTTTGTAGATTTGGCTAAAAAAGTGAGATCAAATTCTGTGTTTTTGCAAAAGGTTTTGTTGTAATAAAGGGTTTAAAATTCTTTGATAGGATGTCTGCTTTGAGTTAGCTGCCTTTCTTATGTTTCATTGACTCATAGGTCAGTGTAAACTGACCAGAAAGAACATTATTATGAAAATGATCAGGTACATGGACTGGACTGAAAAAGAGTGAAAAGGCACCCAATGTCCAAAGAAAAACTTCAGAACGTCTGGAGAAGTATTGATCAGGACTACTTGATACAAGTGAAATAGAAGAAAGTAAGAAAATTTTAAAGAAATTAGAGGTGGCATAATAGTTGTGCACAGTGCTGTAATATATTTCAAGGCATCAGTTTCTGTAAGTGCCTCCATACCACAGTAGCCAATATACTAGTAGTAGTTAAATGTCAAAATAGAACTGATATAACTGATATATTGACGTATATAAATTATAGCTGTACCACACTGACATGGAGTCACTGGGTGCCCATTTTTGTCAGAATGTGGAGTCCCACAATCACAATGCTGAGGCAAAATAAGGGCGACCAAGTGAGCTTTGTGGCTTCAGAGACAGGAGATATTGTACCTTGCCTTCCGCTGTAGGAGCAGGTGGCTACATTACCCACGCGATCCACAACCTCTATCTCCATGTCAGGTGAACAGCAGGATGCGCTGTAGTACACCAGTGTTATGTTCTCATTGCTTGAATCCAGGGTGGTGTTTATGGTCCCGTTTCCTTGCTTGAGGGTGACAAGATCAACGCCCGTCCCATCAGCTCCATCAGTCACCCGGCTAGAGACCTCCCACATCCTCATGCTGCAGTTAACAGAGCAGTTGGTCTGCAGGCTGAGCTGCTCACACACTGGTGCCTTGAAATCGGTCACCTATAAGGGGAAGGAAAATGCATGAAGTCAGCAAAAAGCCTGAATCTAAAGGAACTGCAACTTCCTCAATATTTGCTCTATAGAAATGTGTTTCTTTGTTACTTATGATTGGCTTAAAGTGATTTTAGTTGGTGCACAGCAGGTTAGCTAAGCATAAAAAAACCTTCAGGCCTGTAGTTTAACGAACAGAGATGATAAAATTTATTACAATTGACTTTTTTTTCCCAACAATTCTTTTTATTAATGATTTTTCATGAAATACCCAAAAAGGGGTAATGGAAAAGAAAATTATCCCTCCTTCATGGAGGGAAGCAATAATTTCCATTATACCAAAAGAAGGAAAAGATAAATTAGAATGTAGCAACTATCGCCCAATCAGTGTATTGAATATTGACTACAAGTTGTTTACATCTATTATCTCTAAGAGACTAGAAATGATATTACCTAGGTTAATACATAATGACCAAACGGGTTTTATTAAACATAGACAGGCCCGGGACAACATCAGAAAGGTTTTGCACATATTGCGGCAAGTTGACAAACAAAAATTAGAGACCTTAGTGTTAAGCTTAGATGCCGAGAAGGCATTTGACTCAGTGAGATGGTCCTTTTTATACAAAGTGCTTGAGAAGTTTAATTTTGATAAATCTATAATTGATATTATCTCAGAGTTATACAACAAACCAACAGCTAAAATCAAAATCAATGGGGACCTCACCGAATAATTTATATTGGAACGAGGGACACGACAGGGTTGCTGCATTTCACCGTTGCTTTTTGCTTTGTTTATAGAACCACTAAGTCAGTGGATTAGGCAGAATCAGCATATAACAGGAGTACGAACGCCAGGAGGGGAACAGAAATTAGCATTATTTGCTGACGACTTACTTTTAACATTAACCTGTCCCTCACAGGCACTCCCCCATCTCATGGAAGCACTATCACAGTATGGTTCTTTATCGGGATATAAGGTCAATATAAATAAAACGCAGGTATTAACTTTAAACTATGAACCACCAGTCGAAATTAAGAATCGTTATAAATGGAAATGGGATGCAGATAGCATTATGTATTTAGGGGTGGTAATACATCGTGACTTCACCAAAATGTTCAATGTCAACTATGCCCCTCTAAATGAATCTATAAAATCAGATATACAAAGATGGAACGCTATTCCATTTCTGGACCTACACTCCAGGATTGAATCAATCACATTAAATATTCTTCCCTGACTGCTGTATTTGTTTCAGTCTCTACCGATTGCCATACCACAAAAACAGTTTGCGGTATGGGATAGAACATTGTCAAAATACATCTGGAATGGGAAAAAAGCTAGAGTTAAATATAAAACGCTCCAATTAAAGAAAGACAAGGGAGATCGTGGGCTTCCCTGTCTACGAGAATATTATTGTGCAGCTCAGTTAAGACCGCTGATTTGTCTCTGTTGTCCAAACTACACCGCCGGATGGAAAGATGTTGAAGGAACAATAGTAAAAGAAATACCAGTTTCAGCTTTAATATCGGACATAAAATTGCAGAATAAAAAACATATGGCAGATAAACCTATACTACAAATAATGATATCTGCTTGGAAAGAAGTAATAAAAATTGGTGGTTTGGAAAATGCCTTTAAGGTTTTAAGATGGTGTGCATATGATTCAGATTTTACTCCAAATCAATATGATAATAGATTCAAAAACTAGATTTCAAAAGGAATAACTAATTATTATTCATTTGTCCATAAGGGTGCATTTCAAAGCTTTGAATCTTTAAGGAGTAAATATGACTTGGGATCAGATGATTTCTTTTAGATATCTACAGATCAGAAATTATTTTAATCCAAAATTAAAAGTGAACCTAAACGAATTACAATTTGTAGAAACATTCTTATTACTAACCAAATCTGAAGTGCAAAGTAAAATTATTTCTAAATTATATAACAGCATCCAGCGGTGTAAAAACGACAGCACTCTGTATATTAAAGCGAAGTGGGAAAAGGAGGGTAATTTGACAATTACAGAGAAGTGTTGGGCTCACGCATGCAAGATACAGTGGGCTACCACTGGGTCTAATGTTTGGCATGAATTTTGCTGGAAAAGCATCATGAGATTTTTCATTACCCCTGCTCAACAAAGATATCGAGGAATTGGTGATAAACGTTGGAGATGTGGGGGAGACGGAGCTAACCATTTCCACATCTTTTGGGACTGTAAAGTTATTCGCCAGTATTGGTCTCTAATCCATGATCATTTACAAAATGTTTTTTCATTTGTTTTTCCTTCAACTTTTGAGACCATATTTTTGTGCAATCCACCAGTGGATAAACTGAATTCCAATGACAGAAGACTCCTGTATATCCTTCTGGCCGCAAGTAAAAAGCCTCTTACGAGAAGATGGCTTAAGCCTGAACCACCAATGATAGAAGACTGGATACATTCTGTATAAGAGATCTATACGATGGAAAAAATGTCATTTTCTCTTAAACTTCAGAGAGATACCTTCTATGGAATACGGTCTAAATGGACAGACTATGTTAAGCATATGAGGTGTGATTTTGTATATGATGTTACAACCCTGAGTAGTACGTAAACCTTCCTGCCCTGCTGCCTCCTAACCCTAGTTTTTTTTTCTCTCTTCTTCTTTTCTTTTCTTTTTTTTGTCTTCTTTATTTTTCAATTATAAGTTAAAATGTGACAGCAAAGAAAGTGTAAAAAGGTAAACTACTGTTATGTTCAACAGCTGTCCCAATAAAAGAGATAATAACAAAAAAAAGAAATACCCAAAAAGCTTAAAACAAAAAGTTTACAGTTATAGTATTACCGTGTTAAGAACGGAGAAGCGCAACACAATGTAGTTACTGTCTGTGCCCCCAGGAGCCTCGGCCTCAATGGCCAGGGTGACATCAGTTCCAGATGTGGTATTCAGAGGTGCTGAGAGGGTCACTGTGCCATTATTCGTGATTCCAGGCTCCAGGAACATACTGGTTGGAAATGTAGAGTCGAACCCTCTGCTGTTGGTGGATCGAATTGTGAAGTTTCCACCTGTTCCACTCGTCATCAGAGTGAAGGGCACAGAAAATAGCGTTCCGGGTACTATGATGGTCTCTGGATTAGCCTTTACAAAGAGAGAGTACATTTATAGAGATACTTATTTGAGCTGCTGCATGTTTTTCCATGTTTGATTTGATGCTTTTGTGTCACAAAACAAGTCGTGGATTGCAGCTCACATTTATCGTCAGATTTGATGATCTGAAGTTGGTTGGTGACTGTCTCTGGAAGAGTATTAAAGCCTTGGAGGTGAAACTATCAGCTTGTCCCTTCACCTGCACCTCAAAGTCCTCTGATGGAAACTTGTCAACCAGAACCAAGATGCTTGCATTGCTCTGCGGCACCAAGACTCCTTTAATCACCTCTGACCCAGATGATCCAACCAGAGTGACTTCTGTCACCGTGGCAGTGTCACTCCCCGTTAAAGACATCAACAGGCTACCATTGCCACCTTTCAAGAAAAAGTCAATTCATTACGTCTAATGTTTTAATGGTATGTTACATCTGCAGATCACCAAGTCTTAACAGTTGCCTTTACCAGCACTGGGACGTGTCGCCAGGGTATCAAATCCTCCAAAAGGGCCCTGTGACACCACCACTAAGTCAAAGAAGAAGTCAATAGGACTCTGACCTAAAAATGATGAGGGGGTAAAAAAAAAACAAAACGAAAAAAGTCAAATATATGGAGGGCCTGGAGACTAATGGCAATGGAAATAATGCATTTCATGAACTGATAATTCTGAATACGACAAATACTTACAAATAACATAATATCTAAATAAATTCTAACTATTATATGATTAAAATAAAATTAAAGACTTTTTTTTAAAATTCTAAATGATATATAAATCCATAAAAAAGAGGTTCAAATAGGATGGGTTTATGGAAAAACTAAACACTAACAATAATAAAGAGTTTGAATTAAAACTTCAAAAAACCTTTTTAATAATTTAAAAATGAAATCTAAAGCATAGTGAATAGATTCAAGAACCAGGAATTAAGAATATAGAATTTTGTTTTTATTCAGACTTTTAAAAATATAGTTCCTTTTCCTCTTTCTATTTCTACTTCCTGTTGGTGTTTGAATATGTTGAGTCATTAGCATTTCCATTTAGCCTTTAAGACAAGGAAAATAAATCCTCACAGACTACTTACGTTTTTCTAGGCTGCCCAAAGACCTGTGCTGCCAAGGAAACTTTTTAAATAAGTGTGAGATCTTTCATGAGGCTATTTTGCCTTCATATTCACTCTCTCAACATTTCTGGCAAAGAATTTTAAGGAACACAGCAGTGAAATGGATCCTCACAGAGTATCCACTGGTGGAGAGACGCATCTTCTGCTCTTCGCCCGATAATGTGTTAAAGCTAACATGCTAACATTGCTAACGCTAGCAGCCCTTCATGCTCCACTAATCTAGTAGCAACATACAAAATTTACAGGAATTTGGACTCTAAGCCATGAGATTATTTTAGTTTTGGAAAGACTTTTAAGCTTGTAAGCTTAAAGTTTAGCTTGTAAAATAATCTAATATTTTTTCTGAATTACTTATTTTTATACATCAACTGGTAAAACAATATTAATTTAGCATAGAATAAACTAATTACAGCCGAACACGAACATGCTAAATTTAAAGCTTGATAGTGTAGTTAGATTAGTATCTTAAGTTAGCTTATATAACAGCCGGGCAGCACGATGGTACTGTGGCCACCTCATAGCAGACGGTTCTAGGTTTGAACCACTGGTAAAGGAGTCTTCATCCATATACATGGATGGAAATTAGCACCAGGCGAATGTCTGTGCTTGAATGTAGCAGTTTTCATAGTGTAAAAGTGTAATCTTTTGACCTATACAACACAAGGATCACTGGAATTTCATTGTCATTGCCAGTACTTTGTTTTATGTGAAATCAAAAAGCCCTTAAAGAACTTTTTAAATAATAGAATTGGCTTAGTTCTAGTGAATCAACAGCAAAACCATTTCTGGTTTTCTGTTGTTCAAATATACATACAATAGATTCTCTGCATTGCTCTACTCTGGCTGATAAAATCTAAGTATTTTAGATTTTTTTTGCTTTCATTCATCAACAAAATATGAGATACATGAAGATGCCATGTTACTGACATGCTAACTGTAATAATGCAGGTATGTCTAACCTGTATTGTTACTGTGAGCATTCCCTGCACATGTGCTGGCATCATAGCAAGTGTGCTAGAAATGTTCACCATCTCCTAGGATATAGCATTATTAGTCAAATAACAAAATAAATTCACGTTTTTACACAAAACACAGCTACAGGTTGTGAACACTAATAACAGTGCAATTATAGTTTGGAAACAAAGGGAGAAATGTTCACTTTTAACAACGTTTCCACTCAGGTGAGAGGTAACTGAACTGAACTTGGCTCAGACAGGACATGACATGCCAATCATATTTTAAGAGATCCTTTTAGGGGTTGTCATAGCTCACCCGGTTGAGCCAGTTACTTATGATACAGAAGATGATGCAAGTGTTTGGTTTTAGACCCATCTAAAACTGCTTGCATGTTATCCCCCTACCTTTCTGCTTTCCTATCTACAACGCCAGACATCAAATAGATGCAAACTCTATTCGTTTTTATTAAAAACTTTGTTGTAATGGTAATTTAGTACATCCATTCTGACAGCTTATTAGTTCATTCAAACCTATACCTCAAGGCCCCAGGGATAAGAAACAAAAGTATCGACTGACAGTCTCACCTATGACCTTCAGAGTGTAGGGGTTACTTGACACCATTCTCATTTCCCATTTTCCAGTTTGTTTTTTTAGCTGCAGGGACCAGAAGTTTCCCACAGACTGGGATGTAATGATCAGTGACCCCATTGTGTCACTGCTATCCTGAGATTCACCTGTTAGAACACAGATAGAAAACAGACTATTTTTAGGAATTTATTATTAAATGATAATTTTTTTAACATCAAAAATGAGGGTTACTGCATTTAGTAGTTTTAAACATCTTTATCAATATTTATGTAACAAAACAGCATTTATCACCATGATAAATGCCATTTTGTTCAAAAATCAGGCAAATTCTGAATTTGACTACTGTGTAAACAGAATGTAGGGGACAGTATAGACTGCCACTGCTTTGTTGGGCAGGCTCAGAAATGACGTCATGACCGACGAATAGTAAAAACTCATGCAAATAATGAAGAGTATTTTTTTTTATTTCAGTCAACAACAACAACAACAACAACAAGTTGACTGAAATAAAAAATTTCAATTCAATTTTTCCACAAACAGTCCTTCAGAATAGCATACCTGTGGGGCTAATGAGAGTAAAAGTGATGGATTCCCCAGTAATGTAAACTGTAGGATTTGTTACCGAGTCATCAATCATAAAAGTGAAGCTTTCAGCCTTTCCTGGGTTCCTGGCTGCTTGAAGAAGGGTCACCTGGAACATTACAGTAAGCACTTACATTAAAGAGCTGAAATCTTTGAAATGACAAATCCAGCCAGTAGTGAGATGTTTGTGAAATTACCAGAGAGGCGTTGGAGGACTCCTTTATGATGGCTGTGGCCTGAGGAAGTTGTCTCTTTGTGATTTCGATAGCTTGGCCTCCTGAAGCCTGAGCCAGATCTCTGTACAGCTGAGCATCAGCTTCTGCTATCCTATTGGATGGAGCACGCCGCTTCCGACTGTTGACTGATGATGTGTCAGTTATCATAAAATTGACCTGAGAAGAAAAAAAGGTGCATGAAAACAAGCTTAACCAAATCATAAAGCCTTTACAAACAATTAGACTGAGTTAAAAAAAAAAAAAAGAAGGTAGAATACGACCATTACACTACTTTATTTATACATCTGCTTGTAGCAAAACATGCCCATCCCTGTTTCAATGACGTTTAAAAATGTAATCATCATTAAGATAAGTGTGTTATATTCTTAAACTACTACATACCACCGACTGGGTCCTCTCTATGAGTGCGATCACTGTGCTCTTCAGGTTTTTGTCTTTAGCGGCTGCGTCCGTGAAGAGGAAGATCTCAGAATTTGATGGAGCAGCGCTTAAAGCCAGCTGTGTGAGGAAAACCGCTTTGAATAATAGTTTTAGGTAAAACAACAAACATGCATCGAGCTTTTAAAATTACAGAACATATATCACTTCACCTGAAGCCCTGAGAGACTCATCTCCGGTGGATCTCCTCCACCGGTGGCTACAAGAGAATCAATCGCATTCTGGAAAACTGCTGAGTTTGTTGTCTTTGTCAGTGGTCCGAAGCCTGTTTGATGACATGAGTCAAAGTCAATATATATACTACTATTGTCCATTGTCACCTTATGAATCGGACAGAACAGTAACATTTCAGAACATTCAGAAAAGAAATTCGTAGCATCCCAGAGATCCTACCTGGATCATTAAATGGTACAAGAATGTACAGCGAGGGCTCATTGGCTGTTCCCACATCACGGTTGATTATAGTGGAAGTGACATTTTTCACTGTTGCAATGTCATCTTTCATGCTGCTTGTGGTGTCGATGACAAAACAAAGAGCCTTACTGGATCCTTTAAAGAGACCCATCATCCTGGGGGAAGGAGATGGAGAGAGATAAATGATAAAATGAACTTCTGCACCACAATGAACTGAAACACACAGAGCGTTTGTACCGCAAGAATGGTCTGTCACCAGCAGCCCCCCGAATGTCCTCTAGAAGCTCACTTGTTGCAGCTATTGCAATGTTTGCAGCTTGAGTGTGAAGATACCCATGGCTGGAACTCTCTTTGTCTTTGTTGATCCCACCTATAGGCTCGATCTTACTTGTCTGATCAACTGCCCCTCCATGACTGCATTTTCCTGTTCAGCAAATATTGCGAGAGAGGAATGATGAATACTTAAACACAGCTCTTTTCCCTTTTAACTTGTGTATTTAAGGGCTTGTTTCACTGAAGCTGACTTCCTCTTTTGTCTTGGTAAGCTTTTGGCCTGTCTGCTTAGTATATGATTTTTGTTCTTCCCCAGTCTCATTTCTTTAATAAGTCTCAGCTGTTTCCACTCCCCCTGAACACCCTAATTTATTATTGCGGTCTCAGCTTCTTCTTTGCCAGAGTGTCTGTTCACCTATCCCTTGTGGCTACCACCACCAGTGTTAATTACCCAGTTTAGGTTCTGTAAGTTGGAGTTCTTAATTTTATTTTCTGTTTTTTGTTTGTATTCTGGTCTCAGTAAAATGGTGTGTTTTCTCTGTAACTCCTCCTCCCTGTGAATCTGCTTTTGGATCCTCACATTTAACACATGATAAAAAAAAAAGGGTTGTTATGCAATGTGCGACTTGGTTCATGAACTGGAATTACTTTTACACCATTGCTTTGGTGTCTCTGCAGCAGTTAGAAAAAGTTTTTAGGTTGATTTATCTCATGGATCCTTTGAGGACATACAGTAAGCTGTGTGTCAGTTGGATGTGCAGTACGCTGACTCAGTGTGATAAACTCTAAAGCAACAACTGAAGGCCAGGATGAATAATATTCCTTTTGTCCATAAGAGGAGGGGGTGGAAAATCTCAGAGTGAACGGCTGCTGTTTATTTCAAATCATCCTCAAGAAACTGTGATTGTGTTTTACTGACACTGTGATTTTGGATGAGACAGGTTTTAAAGGCACTTTTTTTGTTTCATATTTTAACTTAAGTAACGTGTACTAATGAAATACGATTTAAAGGATACTTTTTTATGTTATTTCACAAGGATGTTGGTTTATCTCTCATGTGCAAGAACCAATAACTAAAGTCTGTTTTTTCCATTCAGAAACTCACACAATCTGAAGAGCAGAGTGATGGCTGCTGTCGGTGATATTTTATTGGATCATAATGGTGCAATCGTATTTGCCCATTTAAATACAGCTATTTTTAAATACTGCTTTGACTCTTTATAAACTGAGTATAGTTTACAGTATGCTGACATCATTTGAATTCGTTTTTTCATTCACTCATGATAAACCGTCCTGTCCTGTAAGTATGAATAATTTGAACTGGTCAGTACGTCAGGTGGACGAGAATTTAGCGAAACTGCAAGAAGTGTCACATTTGTCTTTTTAAAGTGCCAGTGAAAGGACAAATGTGACTTTGACCTTGAGGACATTGTGCATGCAATTAATGACCAATACTGGAGGAGGAGGAGCAATTTTTGTGAATTGTGGACGAATGATGAGACATGCATCGCCACAGCATGAGCTCACTGATCGTTTAGCCAGATGAGCTGATAAAACTTCAAAGACAAATGTGGGTTAAAAAGCCATTAAAAAGTGCTGTAACTGCAATTTCAAATGCAGTGAAGTGGGATTAGAAGAATAAGTAATAGTAGAGTTAAAATCGATTTTAGTATGTAGGTTTTAGGTAAATCTCAGGAATATCAGTGACATGTGAAGCCTCTTCTGAGTGTGGGAAAACAATGATGGTTTTGTAGAAGAGCGAAGCCCTTACCCTTTGGTTTCAATGCAAATACAGGCGTGAGACTAAAGTATCCAGACGTCAGGATCTTCTCCGCTATGATATCCTCCAAAATGTTGTTGCTGCAGTTGTTGCCATCACAGCTGCGGCAGGTCGCCCTGCTCCTAGCTGGGAACATGTAAATCAGCATTTAAATTATGGCCTTGTTTTGATAGTTTTATCTGTATAATCTGTATGTCAGTATGGGCATCTCATCATACTATCTCTTTACCTGCTATGTTCCCAATGCTGGCGCCAGATTTGATTAGATTGGAGTTGGGGCTTTTTTCTCCCAGTTCTACCCAGTTGCTGTGACTGTAGAAATCCTCCAAGCGATGAAAAAAAAATAGGGTTATTATTTTACTCTGTTTTTGTTTGGTTTTTTGTTGTTGTTTTTAAACAGCAGTAAGTAATGATAAATACCTGCAAAGGATGCAGAATTTCTCCCAGGTTCTGCCTCGCTGCCTCATAATTCTCCAGCTTGTTGCTTGCTTTGACCGCCTGTATTCCCTCTATGATGATTTTCTTTCCTTGAACAAACATCTCATCATCAAAGTGGAAGCTGGCATTCAAGGCATAGCGGATGTCCACACGCACATTCCTGTATATGATGTGCAGAATGGACCGAACGAAAGTTTTAGATGACTGAGGTGCACCACAGGCCGTAGCAACACCCTGTATGGTGAAAGGCTGTGCCTAAACACACAAAGGAAATCATGTTGACATTACTGTTTTAAAAATCCTTGTTTCTGTTCATTTAACTTCAATGATTTGAGTTCTTACAGGGAAAATGAAGTCTGTCCCTTCAGCCTTAGCAAATGCTCGGCACACCTGCACAGTCACATTAAACAGGGCCTGCAGAGTGATGTCCAGGTGAGTCAGAGAACTGCCTGGCAGAATGTCAAAACCCAGAGCTCCAGTGCAAAGAAGCGAGAGCAACAATGCAGACGGCCACACAGACTTCATTGCTCCACCTGTCACACAACATGAAGTGGCAACATAAACATGTAATTACAGGCGTTTGATGCATACAGGTTAAAAGTAAATATTTTTGGATATGCTGATTTTTAGGAATCACAACTGTCACCATCAATCTCATCAACCTGAGCATTTATTAGAACAAATGCTGAATTGTACATCTCAAACTGTACAGTAGGATTAAACAACAACGAGAACAAAGTCACAGCGATCCTCTGAAGCACTTGTCTATTTTAATAAGAAGAAAAGAAGGAATCCTTTAATCCTTTAATGCCCAGTGTATCATATTTAAAACATGAGTTTTTGAGACTTCTATATCGTCAGTGTGCGTTTTTTTGTTCGTTTTTATCACATTTTTCACAAATATGATAAGAATCCATCCGTCCATCCATCTTCATCCGCTTTATCCAGACCTCCCTCTCCCCAGCCACCTCCTCCAGCTTATCCGGTGGAACACCAAGGCGTTCCCAGGCCAGCCAAGAGATATAATCTCTCCAGCGTGTCCTGGGTCTGCCCCGGGGCCTCCTCCCGGTGGACATGCGAACCGTTCCAGTGCGAGCTGGAGGCCTTCACCCGATGAAGCCAACAGAACCACATCATCCGCGAAAAGCAGAGATGAGATTCTGAGGCCACCGAAGTGAAAGCCCTCCGCCACTTGGCTGCGCCTAGAAATCCTGTCCATAAAAATTATGAACAGAATCGGTGACAAAGGGCAGCCCTGGCGGAGCCCATCACCCACCGGGAACGAGTCCGGCAATGCGAACCAAGCTCTTGCAACGGTTGTATAGGGATCGAATGGCCCGTAGCAATGGGCCAGACACCCCATACTCCCGCAACACCTCCCACAGGACACCCCGAGGGACACGGTCGAATGCCTTCTCCAAGTCCACAAAACACATGTAGACTGGTTGGGCAAACTCCCATGCACCCTCAAGTATCCTCGAGAGGATAAAGAGCTGGTCCAGTGTTCCGCGACCAGGACGAAAACCGCATTGTTCCTCCTGTATCCGAGGTTCGACTAGCGGACGAACTCTCCTTTCCAGCACCCTGGCATAGACTTTCCCAGGGAGGCTGAGGAGTGTGATCCCCCTGTAGTTGGAACACACCCTCCGGTCCCCCTTCTTAAAGATGGGGACCACCACCCCGGTCTGCCAGTCCAGGGGTACTGCCCCTGATCTCCACGCAACATTGTAGAGGCGTGTCAACCAGGACAGCCCTACAACGTCCAGAGCCTTCAGGAACTCGGGGCGGACCTCATCAACACCAGGGGCTCTGCCACCAAGGAGTTGTTTAACTGCCTCAGTGACCTCGCCCCGGAAATTGGCGGGTCATTCCCCTCATCCCCAGACTCTGCTTCCTCCTCGGAAGACGTGTATGATAAGAATTTTTTTTTAATTGTCAGAGGTTGTCTAAACACAAATGAGAACTTTCTGGCAATTATTTTAGTTAAAGCATTAAGCTCTCAATATACTATTCTGGCAATAAACTATTTTTATTGAATTCTCTTGAAATTCAATTCTATATAAATTTTGAAATTAAAGCAGTAATTCAAATAGTTAAACTCTGACTCAAACACTCAAAAATGCCAAATTATTCTAAAATTTTATAATAAATCAATAATAATAACACCATCTCAGAAATACGTCTACCACATTTTTATGCTGCTACAACAGCTACTAAAATCAAGCCTCTATCTTTCAGATGTTTCGCCAACAATGAGTTTAAAGGATTACTGACCTTGTTGCTGTCCTGTGAACTGGAAAGTTATGTTGTCAGCACCTGCTTTTATGTTTCCTAATTGCCAGGGCGGGGTTAGAAGGACTCGCTCTACCTGTCTAACCTTTGTCATGATCAGTCAGTAAGATTATTGTGCGTTTAGCTTTAATATACACTATAACACAATTGAATCAGAAATATGTGCGCTTTAAACTTTAGACTTCAAGTTTATTACTGTTAAACTAAACTGTTATTATATAATATAGTATATTAACTCTAAGAAATTTCCGTTTCCATTCATTTTGAAAAAAATGAGAAATATGGAGTCTTAAATTTACCCTTTTACACTTTAACTGGCTTGAACAGACTGAAAGGTAAAAATATAATAGAGTAAAATATATTCAAATGCATGGAGTGTATTTGTCTTAGTTTGGATACCTTTACATCTGCCCTGACTCGCTCCACTGCCACTGTGCCCTTAGGAGGTTCATTGCAGGGGCGCGTTATTATTTGTAGAAATACCAACGTGCATACTTTCATTTTAGCCCTGCGAGAAGCTGAACATCATGAAAATGCGGTCAAGCTTACATTAACACATAATGTGGAGGGTGAGACTTTTAGTGAAGGCAGTACATTTTAGTTCTGCAGGCATGAATTTTAATCTATGATTTTTATCAGCAGCTACTGTATTATTATTTACTTTTGTTATGTAAGTAGACTGGCATTCACACACAAAAGTACACCATGTGGAGACAGAACACTTGAGACACCCCTCATTTCTTCATATTTTGTCAGGAAAATTGGAAATAGTAGTAGGTAGTCTTCAGGAATAGTTCTCCAGGCTTCTTGAAGGACATTCAGAGCTCGTCTTTGGATGTTTGCTTGCCTACTGTTTTGTTCTCCGTCAAGATGGTCCCACAAATGTTCAGGCCCAGGCTCCAGGGAGGCCGATCCATGACTGATTCCACTGTGTGTTTTTCTATTTCGATTTAAATAAAAATAGGCAGTGTGTTGGGGATAATTCCCATGCTGAAAAGATTCCTGTCTTCATAATTCTGTAACCTTATTTGTGGCAAGCATTTATTTAATTTGTGTATATTATAATAAAAAATATTATTATTACATTTTGCAATGATGTTTTATGATTTTACATATTTGTCTTTCTTATTCTGATGTTTTCTGTAAAAGCTCATTTGGATTCATCACTTTTCTGTTCTTATTGAAGAATGACTTGTGTGTCATGAGGTGATGAATGACTCAGGATGAAATCCTTATTAGGAGCCTCTGAAGTGGTTCAGGAGGATTTCAGTATTTTTGCTTGTAATCAATAAATTTAACATTTTACTGGTTATCATATGTTTATCTTTTCTAGAGGGGAGGAGTACACTACCCCAACCAGTCCTACCTGTCAGTCCTCAATTGTGTATACTTTTTAAAAAAATGTCACAGTCAAATTACCAGTAATGTACTGCATACTAATGGTAATTATTACACACTTTGAACCGTAAGAGTCACTGAAAATACAAGTTTTGCAGGTAATTAAAAATAGTTATATTTCATCTTCCGTGATTATAAACCAACACTAACAAGCATTCATCTTTGATTAAAGAATATAAATCTTCCTCCAAAATCAAACTGTGAGCGAAAATAAAACATTACTTTAAAACTTCTTTACAGATTTTTAATGAGAATAAAACTGTTGAATGAAATTTTACAGTGACCGTTCTTCAGTGCAAAAATATACTGATATTTGCATTTAAGCCGTTGTTAAAAACAGAGTCGAAATGATTCCAGGAACAGAATAAGGTCCAAGACTATGATCATTTAAGGTTTAATGGCTCAGATTTATGTGGCTTCTGTTTGCTTGAATTTTATGTGAGCTGGTAGTAAATGATTTATGGAGGGAGGAGAAAGCAGGGGCAGCAAGTGCAGAACAACTAACATTTGCCCCGGCCCTCTTTTTTCTCTCTCTTTGGCAATCTTTGAAAACTTCTCTTGAATCTCTCTGAATTGGAAAAAGGAGACGACGATACAGAGCAACAGATTGCGTGTCAGGCTGGATTTTCAGGTTCCTGGAGAAACAAGAAAGATGGCCGTTAACTGTTTTTGAAGAAATAAAAGTCAAGATATTCAAAGAAAACACTGGATTAAAATACATCATTTTGCATTTACAAATGGCATCATTTGTAGGGGATTATTTCCTCTTTTTGTTCCCATCCGTGCTACTTTTGCTGCTGTCTCTAACTCTCCGCTTGCCCAGAGTGCATTGTTGGACAGGGCTGGCAGTCAGGGCTTTAAGCTGGAGACTCTGGGTTATTATTTGCCTGATCCTGGGGCTGCCACTTCACAAGAACACCAGTGCAAGGGCTGAAGAGGTCAAATCGGCAGGGACTAATATTTTGTCAGGGTCAGGTCAGATCTCAGATGAATCCAGACTCATATGCAAACCAACCGCGCTGGCTAAATATCTGCTCCGGCACTGTGGCTCTCTGGCCAAGCCGAGACTGGCCACCTGGCCGAGGGGAGACCCCCACCTCCAGACACTGTCAAGCCTGCTGTGGGGCCAACATGGAGAGGCGTTGCAGTTCACTAGAGACAACCTGCTACTGAAAGATGGGGGAATCATAGCTGTGGACTGGGCTGTAGGAACAAAGATGGGTGAGGCTGCCACAAGAAAGAAGTGGGATGTGAGGAAGGAGCACCAGTCAGGGGTGAGGGCACCGGGCTGCTTCACCTCAGCACCCCCTGTCCTCCTCCTCATCCCTCAATACTGGGGAGGGATGACCCCCCACTTAAAGATGCTGTGCCAACAGGCTCTGTGTCAGGGCTTTTATGTGGTGGTCTTTCACCCTCGGGGCACAGAGGGGTGCCCGCTGACCACAGCACGAGTAACCGAGTTTGGAGACCCAGCTGATCTCGAGCAGGTAAAGAAAGACAATTTCATCATCAAACAGAAACTGTTGGACAAAGAAAATCCACACCTTCTGTCTAAGACATGATTAAAATTGTAACTCTTTTAATGGAAATGATTGTTTGTTTCATTCAGCTCAGTGTTGATAAGGTATTTTAGCTTTTTGTCTGTTTGTTAATTCGGTTTACTTTCCAGGAAAGATTTCCTTGTTTCGGATAAGTTATTTTTTTAATTATTAGGTATCACAAATAAAGTTATGCGGATCTGAAAGTGACACTGAGTTAAAAATGTAGGTCATTTTCAAGAACATTTCGTGACACACACACACAGACACACACACCACAAGAAGCTCGTTGATTTATGTACGTGTGGGTTGTTTCTACTTTTTGTGGTCCAAGTGCTGTATGTTTATTTTCCTTACAGGTGCGGCAGTTGGACATATATTGTGCATTACTATTTGTACTTTTTTATTACATCTTTCCATATTTTCTCCTAAAGAAGGGGACCGTATAGAGAATTTATAAAAAGCAAAATGGGTTTGGCATAGCAGTGCATTCAGATCATAACTGAGACTGCAAAAGCTGCCAGACAGGATAGGAAACAGCAAAAAACAAAACTGTAGGTCTAAATACCTTTGAAGGGCTACGGCACGGTTTCCATAGGCACTTGATCTGATCGTGTTAAAGGCATGACAGCCAGGACCAGTAAGAATACATGTTTTAATACGTGAAGCAGTCTGGCTGAGATATACTTTCACTTAGAACAATGCATTCGGTTGTTCAACTGGTTTGTTTTGCACGGCTTGGTTGTCTGACATCATTTTTGTGCCATTCATAAAAACGAAAGGAAAGAAAAGAAAGCAAAAGAAGAACAAAAAAAAGATCCGTTGTGTTGGTTGTGAGGACATTTGTGCTTGCTTTTGGTTTTGCTTGTTTGTGTTTGAGGTATGGATGCATTTGAAAATTGAAAATTGAAAATAAGTGTGTAATATGTAAGTAAAATCTGAGTGTGACGATTTGCAAATCTCATAAATCCATATTTTACTCACAATAGACAATTGAACACATCAAATGTTTAAACTGAGAAAATGCATCAATTTAAAACTGATGTTAGCTCATTTTCAACACCTGGGAACACTGAGGCATTCCCAGGCAAGCCGAGAGACATAAACTCTTCAGTATGTAGTGTATCTACCCCAGGGCTATCTCCAGGTAGGATAGGCCCAGAAAGCCTCATCCAAGAAGTATCCTAGATGCCCAAACAAACTCAGCTGGCACCTTTTGATGTGGAGGAGTAGCATCTCCACTCTGAGCCCTTCCCAAATGACTGAACTTCTGACCCTATCGCTAAGGCTGCGCCCAGCCATCTGTCAGAGAAAGCCCATTTCTGCTGTTTCTATCCACAATCTCATTCTTTTAGTTCCACTCTGGTGCGAGCTGGAGGTCACCACCTGCTGAAACAGAACCACATAATGTGCAAAAAGTAGAATCGAGAGGTGAGAGATGGATTGTTCCTTCTGAATCACAGGTTCAACTACTGGATGTACTCTGCTCACTGGCTCCCTGGTGTAAGCCTTCACAGGGAAGCTCAGGAGTGCTCAGCCCTGTAGCTTTTAGGAACACAGGCTGAACCTTGTCCACCCCAGAGGCAAGGCCACATAAGAGTTAAACTACAAGAGTGGCCTCACCCTCAGTGATTAACAAGTCAGCTGAGTCACTTGACGATTGGAGTCATTTCAAGGCCAACTGAAAGTCTCCCACACACAAGTTTTTGCTTCAGCCACATTTTCTCAGTTTAAACATTTCATATGTTTTTGTATGACCTTCTGAGAAAACATGCATTCATGAGATTTGCAAACCTTTTTTGCTTTTGTGAATTTTACAAAGCATTTCAACCTTTTTTTAGTTACAGTTGAAACTTTTTTGTTTTTTTGTTTTTGGGAGTTTTTTGTTGGTTTTTTGCAAAATTTTCTCTGAAGATCATCTGCCTGATGCAGATTGAAAAAATGATCAAGAAAACTTTTTAGAAAATGCAGAATGATGAACATTTAAGAAATGTGAGCAAAAAAAATTCAACTGTGTATGTGAAAAATACCAACAGCTGGCACACTGCTACTAAATTAGCAGATTTATTGCTCTGACTCTTTTATGGCCCAGCACCTGCCCTATTTTTTTTGGTGTAGGTGTGCAAATATTTAGTTATTAATTTTTTAAAATCAAAAATTCCAACAGTAGCTCATTTTCAGCCAGTGGTCATATGGTTCAAAGGTTATGCACATCAGGTGCACCTGCAGCTCTGTCCCTCTGGTGTCACTACAGTGTCCAAGGTGCACACACTAAGGAATACCAACAGAATCGTCTGTGGGTTTCAAAAGATATAAATAAAAATAATAAAGAGGAAGAACTAAAAACAAAATAGAAAAATTGGGTTTAAAAAAATGTAAAAAATAAATAAATATATATATATAGAGAGAGATTTATTCCCAGGATAATATTCACGTCTGCATCAAATCCCTCAAGAAACTAATTCGAACACTGAGTTAGACATGTTGTTGTAAAATCGATACCGGTCACTTATTTTTGTTTTGACCATGATCTCACAGTGTCACTATCTTTCATGTCTTCCGTGATCAGGCGGTGGCTTATGTCCACAGCCGCCACCCGTCCTCTGTGCTTTTTGCAGTGAGTGAGGGGTCAGGCTCAGGGGTTCTTCTTTCATATTTGGGGGAGTGTGGATCGAGCACGTACCTGACAGCAGCAGCAGCAATCTCACCTGTGCTTCTCGGCCAACTGTGGTTTGAAACGCCTATGCCTCCTATTTACCGCTGGGGGGCACTGTTTCACCGAAAACAGCAGCTCAGAAGGTGAGAACAGTAAAAGTGTTATAGCACAGACATAAATGAAGCATGGATATGATATCTTTCTTTTGTTGGTTTTCTTTATAAGATATGCGAGTTCCTTCAGAGGCGTCCGGGATGTGGATCGAGCCCTCAGCTCTTCGTCCCTCAGGGACTTTGAGGAAGCACTTTTCTGCTCCCCACCTCAGCCTCAATTAAGCCCTTTAAATTCTGGACTGAGCTCAAGATCTCACTCCCAGTGGGGCCTGGCATCTTCAGCAGCCTGGGCGCTGGATGAGAGGGCTTACCCAGCCAAGGACTGGGAAAGCTACTGGGAGAGAAACGAGCCACTGAGAGATGCAGATGAGGTGGCGGTCCCTGTGCTCTGTGTACGCAGCAGTGATGACCCTCTCCTCCCGCCTGCCTCCACTTTGCCCCTTCCCCTTTTTATGAGCAATCCGTATTTCTTTCTGATGTTGACAGACAGGGGAGGGCATTGTGGATTTGCTCTGGAGGAGCAGGGGGGAGAAATCTGGAGTCATATCTCAATTCTGGAGTACTTTAGGGTCGTAGCTGAATTCCTGCGTGGGGATGAGAGGAACAGGGTGAGTTGGAGTGCTCTAATGGAAGAAAATAGTCAGGCTAGGCTGAGGGGCTGGAGCATGGCTCCTGCTCGTAGGAGAAAAGCCACAGAGATGAGAAGACCAAGACCACAGGCTGCTGATCAATGCACCATGGATGCACAAGAAGGGAATTTCACCTGGAAGAGGTCCTACACACGCTGAAGGGGAGAGGATGGATTATTCCCAATTGTGGTATTGAGAAGATAAAAAACAAGTCTTTCAAATACAAGCAGACAAAAGAAAACTTTTTTTTAACCAAGAAAAAAAATGCATAACTAATGACATTAGCTGACTAATGCCTATTGACATTTTTTCAAAACACACTGGTCTTCAAATAAAAGACCTTTATGTTTCCTGTCACATCATGTGAAAAAGTATTTGTCTGCTTTCTGACTATTTTTTTGTATATTTGTCAGACTTAAGCATTTCTTGTTATCAAAAGACTTGAGAACATGAGACATATATATGTCAATGATAACCTGAATACATTCAAAATGCAGTTTTTAAATCATGCTTTCATTTATTAAAGGGAGAAAACAAATTATCTAAACCTATTCGGCCCTGTTTGACTGCTGGTACGTTCTTTTTATGAAATGCTGTCACAGGTTTTTGCATCAGATCTAACTGGTCACAAACCTTCCAAAAAGTCTAAAGGTTTAACTCAGTCTTGGGGGATTACTGACATGTTTTTGGAGAATGGGAGATGAGTCTTTCACCCAGTCTCTTTCTTACTATTGACCCATTAACTCCGACCTTAAGGGGGCAAGTAAGCTGCAAACACATAACTGCCTCAAAATATATGTTTGTGTCTCCTGTGCTTTACGTCCATGAACAGACTGGTGTAGATGGGCTTAAGGTACATGTAGGATCTTATTATTATTTTGGACCATTTGTCTGAAAGACACAAATATCTTTAGTATCTATCAGTTGGGTGGTGGGGGTTAATCAACCAATCAGTGATCATTTTCAGGTGAGTAATTTGTCATCAATTTCTTCTACCTGTTTAACTTAAGCAGTAGTGAAAATCACCACAGTTATTGCAGTTACTGTGACCAAGTAACAAAATTCTCTCGAAAGAGGCTCCGTATTCCTCTGGCTTATAAATCTGAACTGTAATTCTTATCCACTTACTTTGAGAACACTCAGGAATCTCAGCTGCTTTACAGAAGTGTGCGTTTGTGCTCCTAGTGCTAGAAATGTTTCTGCTCTTCTCCAAACCCTGATGAGTTTCTGTGCTACAGGTCGGTGGCACTACTTGAAAGTATCTACAAATCAAAACCATACTGCTCCTGTTTTTTGTAAGATGACTTTGTTTGCAAAACGTCAACTTTTCCTACGATTTGTTGGTAAAATGATGACTGGATAGTGAAACCACGGGCTTCCGAACATGTTAAAAGGGAATTATTAATCAGTTTTTCCTGCTTCTCTCACAGTCTGCCCACTGAAATGATTTCTATTTATTTGTGGCAACAAATTGTTAAATGATTTTTTTTATTTTTTTAAAATATAGTAAAACTCATCCAAACTGTACAAAAGCTTGTGCTGCACAATGGAGGTGGTTGTTGGTGCAAAACTCCTTGAACCTCCTTTGGTACAATAGTACAAATGTCTATTTTCGCAAAAAACATCCAAATTATAAACAATCCCATTTCATTTATATGGTGCCAAATCACAACAACAGTCACCTTAATGTGTTTTATATTGTAAGGTAAAGACCCTACAGAACTACAGAGAGAACCCCACAATCAGACCACCCACTATGAGCAAGCACGACAGTGGGAAGGAAAAGCTCCCTTTTAACAGGAAGAAACATTAAGCGGAATAAAATTCTCTACCGGGGTCTCCGGAGATCTTAAAATGAAACAGTTACACTTTTTCCATTTCATATCCATACATAACTGTATTTCCTATTTCATACAAGACACCACAGGACAAAGAAATATTAAAATTATTTTATTACAGATGATTCTTTATCCAGTAGCCCTCTTCCAACAAAAAATAGTAATTACAAACAAAATATTACATTTATCCCCTAAACTTTGCCTTTGAGTTTCATTTATACATTTTACTTTGTCATCTGTAAGGAATATCTTTTCTCTTCTGCTATGCAACATTCAGCTTTCTGCACAATCTATACATTTAATACAGTTTAATACAGATCTCTGGACCAGGGAGAATAAAACAGCAAGATCCACCAAATGACAGGAGATAAAAGGAATACTGATAAAACAGACTGTACAGAGACATAAGCCTGCCTCCCACCTACTTTCAGCAATAGCAGTCACCTCCTCCCCCAACCCCAACACAGAGTTGGGGGGGGGTGGATCACAGTAGACTCTTTAATCTGGTCAGTCACTTGTGCAATCAGTGCAACTGATCCAGTTCAGAGTGACCGAGGTCTAAAGGTAGACTGCCTCGCAAAACACCTGGGAGATCTAGTAAACACAAGAGAAGGTCTAAAAGTCCACCGCTCGTTTGGCCCTCTGCAGACATCATCTGGAAATTAAAAACACCCCTTCTGGCATAAAAACACTAAAGAGCTGGGGGGAAAGTGGGTACAATGGCATACTGGCGCTTTGTTTCTGAGCCAAAAAAGAGATTCAAACTATTGACTACAGATTGGTACTCCCCCCCACACCAAAGGCAAATCATTAAGTGCAGTGTGAAAATGGTTTGTGTCGAACCATAAACAAACAGGGCTCTTGGTGCACAGATCAGAAAATGTAAGGTCAGTGGACCCTACAAGACAAAAATGTTTACTGTCTACAGCAAGAATCTGGAAACAATTTTAGCCATTTCAGATTTTAACACTTCTTTTTTTTCCTTAAATAAATCTTTAAAAAGACTTTTCCCCCTCATGTTATAACCTTTACTTTAGCTCCAAGTCCTTTAAAAACCACCAAGATATGAAGCAGAGAGGCTGAGTCTTCACTATGGGGTACAATGTCAGTAACACATAGCCAGTGCTCGAGCAAAGGCTCCACCTAACTAGTTTTCAAATTATGTGCAAAATCATCCTCATACACTACAAAACAAAGTGTTGCCGTTTACTCGAGGCAATCTGACCTACAGTTGTGTTGTTATCATTCACAACAGCATATCTGTAACAAGTTCGAGAACTCGCAGCTGCAAATAAGACAGTGAAAAACTCAGCAGCCGCGAATCGATCCATCGTTCAACTGCCGCCGCTCTAAAGCCACGCACCGCTGTGCCTGCATCGCAAGTTAACTCGTCTCTGATTTGTCGATTCGATCTCCACATGTTCAGATTCAAAATATACAATATTAACACGCTTTTCCTGTACATTCCACCTCTGCAGCAACATATAATGCATAAACTCTGTTTCACAATAACACTTTCCACCTTTAGCTTTACATCTCTATAATCCTTCTTTATAGATTTATAACATTTATATATATTTCTTTCTTCTTTTGTTTTACTTGAGAGAGCTCTTTCCACAAAGATCCAGGAGGGGAGTGAAGGAGCGAAGACCAAAAAAACCAAAACAAAAAGGAGGCTCCAGAGGGGAGGAAACGTAGGCGGAGGGATGCTGGGGGACAAGATCGGTGGTCAGAATGTGACATTGTGGTCATCAGGGGTGAGACAGAGCGGGGTGTCAGACCGGGGAAGGTTGCAGGGGCATGGCAGCGGAGATCCCAGCATCACCACCCATCCACTCTTCAAAAACGTTCAGCAGTCACCAACCAAGCTGAGGGCTAGTGAAGCTCCTCCTCACTCTGTGTTCATTTGTTTTCACTGTAGGGTCTTATAAGGTTTAAAAAAAAAATAAAGAAAATAACAAAGAAATAACAAAAAGGCATTTCGGGCAACTGTGAATAATAATACTTCCCAAAGCTTCACGGACGTTTTTATACATTAATAAATTTGCCTGCTGCTGCTGACTGTTGCCAATTTACATCCAACTCAGCTCACAAAGGCTAAGTGTGCTATTTTCAACGCACATGCATTTATAAACCAGGCTTACGTAATGTTTGCCTGGGCGAATAAAATGAATAGCCACTACATGTTTGTGTAAATGTGTCCGATTAACAATTAAGAGTGGGTGAAAGCCTACGCCAAAGTGCAAATCAAGACATTCAAGGCTCTAACTTGAGTGTTCTTGAGGTAGGCCAAAAGGCTTGTGTCATTTTTTTTTCTCTTTTCTTGTTGTTTCTAACTGCATAGTGCATCACTAAAATGGTGCCAAATCAGATTGAAATTGTATTGCAAACAAGTGATGAGTGAACACCAGTTTTGAAACTGTTCAAAGTTGAGGTTAGGTGCTGCTGAAAACCCATCTCTGTCATAGGGCCTGCAGACTAATAAGGATCCAAGTGCCCTTCAGACTGGCCTTCCACTGGGCAGGTGTGAGTGAAGGCCAGAGGCCTGTGGAAACCCAAGAGCTGAGATAACGGAGCTGAACACGAAGGACAAGTGGCTCCCTTGGCCACGTGGCATTAATGTCCACTGAACTGCCTTTCTCTGGCACAATGTGTTTCACTACACCACAGTATTGTTGGCATGAGTAGCTATAACGACAAATCCAACTCTGCACCTTTACCTTTGGCAGCTGGGCTCACGGTCCTCAAGAAACCTGCATGGCACTCGCACCAGAACGTACGCAGCTTTGTTTTCCATGAAAATGATCTCGCTGAAACTTCTCACGTCAAGTCAGCTGGATTAGCTTTGGAGCTGGAATTAATACTGTCACCACAACTGTCCCCCTGCACTGCAGCTAAACAGTCAGCAACACCCACAGCTATTCACTTACAACGACCTTCGCTCTCTTTCTCGGTCCATTAACTTCCTCAGCTGCGTCAAGCGTCGCTTGAAACAGTCCTTCTGTTCTCTAGTCTTCCCCCAACTACACATAAATAATCGAATTTAACTTTTCATCAGTTTAAATCTGGTTTGAAGGACAAGCTCAGCACTTTTGTGCACAATCCGTCCCACTTGGGTTTAAAACAATACTGCGAAACAGAAGATGGCAAACAAACCACTCTCAATAGAAAATTAACACACTAGTTTGGGATTGTGGCAACAGAGACTAATACGGCAGTAACAAACACACACAGCAGTGTATGCTGCAGTAAAAAAACAAAAAACAACAAGAAAACTACTATTGCACTACTGTAAATGGCCCTCGGGTATCTTATTAGTCTCAAGTCTTCTGGGTTTCCACAGACTGCTGCTAGCAGTACACTGATGTAGAGCAGTGGTGACAGGAGAGCGGCTGGGCTCAGGTAAACCCAGCCTCAGTACTGTGCAGTGCGAGATGTACTGTGGTATGTGCGTGATGCATGTGTGTACAGTTATCTCGGAGCGAGATATTAGCTTTAAGACAATTTGTGTGTGCGTGTGTATTTTAGGTGTATGACAGGTGGGATCCATTGGAGATCTGAGAGGTGATGCTGGCGCTCCTGCTCATGCCCTGTTCACTCCTCCCCCCTGATGACGTCCTCCTCATAGCCTGCGGGCTGTTCCTCACCCCTCCCGCACCTCCTTGGCTACCCCTCTGACTACCCCCACCAGGGTGGTGGAGGCTCCAGGGTGGTGGGCCCCCAGCCAGCATGGGGTGACCCCAGGACTGCTGTGAGCTGGAGCCCCCCTGGTGATGACTATGGTGACTGCTTCCTCCACCTCCTCCCGGCCAGTGGCCTCCCCCCTGAGCCCCCTGGCCTCCTCCTCCTCCTCCCCAGCCTCCCTGAGAATCGGGAGCCAGGTTAGTGAGCACCATGTTGCTGAAGCCCAGTCGCATGGACTCCGAATCAAAAGCCTCGATCTCTCGGGCCTGGCGCTCCAGCAGTGAGCGGATTCGCTCCAGACGCTCGTTTTGCAGGGAAAGCATTTCCTCCTCGATCTGGGGACATAAACACAATGTGACACCGGAGAAAAAACAGGCAACTACATTGTTTGTATTACTGGCCAAACGTATGAACAATCCCAGCGTACTAAAGATAAAACACAAACTGTATGTGCAACACCTACAGAGAATTGGTACATATAAATGCAGAGGTAACCGC